CTTTTCTAAGAGCTACATAGTACTCCATTGTGTAGATGTACCAAAGTTTCTTTAACCAGTCATCTGTTCTTGGGCATTCAGGTTTCTTCCAGTTTCTGGCTATTGTAAAGAGGGCTGCAATGAACAAACAAGTGCAGATGTCACTTCGACTATACATTTTTGCCTCTCTGGGATATATTCCCAGGAGTGGTATTGCTGGGTCAAATGGGAGCTCAATTTCTAATTTTTTGAGAATCGTCCATACTGTTTTCCAGAAGGGCTGAACCAGTGGACATTCCCACCAACAGTGAAGGAGTGTCCCTTTCTCGCCACATCCACGCCAGCATCGGTTGCTTTTGTTCTTTTGAATTTGGGCCAGTCTCTGAGGTGTGAGATGGTATCTCATTGTGGTTTTGATCTGCATCTCCCTGATGATTAATGATGTAGAGCCACATTGATTTATAATTAGAAGTTGAAACAAATTTTGTTGAATGAGAAATTCTATGTAGGAACAGAATACTCGTTTTCTAGCAGTTTGTGTTTAAACTAGGGATTCTCCTTTCAACATGCTATCTAACTCGTTTGGGGCATACTATTCTGATTAAAATGAAATGACTTTTAAAGTACTCAGTTGAAGGGCCTGGGATGTGGCTCAGCAGTAGAGAACCTGCCTTGCAGGTGGGATGATGAGAGTTTGATGCCCCATTCTGCCCCACGTTGCAGAGTGTGATCCCAGCTGCACTGTCACCATGGACTCTGGAGCACCACTGTGAGATCTCCCACAAACTAAGGTTCAAGTGTTTGAACCTCAGACATTGCAACAATAAGAAGAAGGTGGGGGAAACCCAGAAAATGTTTAGTTAGGGATTTGGTGAAGGCTGATCATTTCTTTTTCTGATTTCTTTAAGAAAGCGAGTTTTCTGATTGATGAGTGCTTAGGTTATGGATGTACTTACCTACTTTTCAAATGTCATTTAAAGGGTCTGATCTATTTTGTCAAGAATACAGACTAGTGTCTTAAATGCCAGGGACATGGTCAAAGGGAGACCTACTGAAAAGATCGGATAGAACATCAAAACTACTGGAAACAGTTGTGGGAAGTGTACAATGATTAGCTAAAAAGCCACAGACAACAAAGTATGAAAAGAATGCAAGATGGTGATGCCTGAAAATGTGAATAATTTAAGACATTTTTCTATTTCCATTATAGTGTCCTTCGTCTAATTGAAATGTCATAACTCAGTTTCTAAGCTTAATTTACTGTGTGAGTGTGTGTGGCGGGTGTACCTCAGAGACACAGCACTTACCTGAATAAGGGAAGCCCTGGGCTTAATCTCAGTGCTGAAATAAATCAATGGATAAGTAAATAATAAATTACTATAGTGATATTTCCTTGCTCATTTATATCTTATTAGTCCCCATCCTGATTTTATTCAGGGGCCAATGACTGGACCCAGAGGATCAGTCATGACTGGTCCAACCAGATGTTTCTCAACTTTGTACAGTACACCCTGGGAAACATTAAACACATTCCAGTATTTGGTGCATGGGGTGAGGTTGGGCCACACCGGGCAAACTCAGGGGTTACTCTTGCCTCCTCATTCAGGAATCACACCTTGCGGTGCTCAGGGGATAAAATGGGATATTGGGGATGGAACCTGGGTTGGTCACATGCAAGACAAGCACCTTATCCGATGTACTATTTCTCCAGGCCAATGCAAATATTCTAATGCTTTGGACCCCACCCCAGACCAACTAAATCAAGAATTTTTGGAGGTGGGGCTCAGATGTTGTCATTAAAAACACTGTCACTAAGATTAACATGGGCACTAAAATTAACACACATTCATCCAGCACCCAGAAGGACTGGTCTAAGTCAGTTACAATGATCCCATTTCCTTTTGTCAGGTATTGCCACGTGACCTACATCTAGTCATGAGACATAAACAGAAGTCAGGCTGGGGAGTCTCAGAAGAACTTTATGTACAAATTGTAGGAAAGAGAGTCGTAGAAGGGAAAACTGCACCCCTTACTTGCTACTACCTTCCTGGCTTTCTGCATTTTTAATAACCCTTTATAGTTATGTGAAGATATGGGATGCAACTTGTGATAATAAACAGATAAGTTGGTGAATGAAAGCCCAGAATATGTAAAACATGGGAAAGACCTGAATCATTGGAGTCTTAGCTGAAGGTATTGAGGTCCTTTTGGCTGTGGGAAAAAATTAAGGGGCTGAAGAGATAGTACAGAGGGTATATATATTTGCCTCGCATGCAGCCAACCTAGGTTCAATCCCCAGCATCCCATATTGTCCTTAAGCACTTTCAGGAATGATTCCTAAGTGCATAGTCAGGAGTAATCCCTGAGCACTGGCAGGTGTGGCCCCCAAACTAAAACCAAAACCCAAAACCAAAACCCCACCAAATCACCCAATCTGCATCCTGAATGTTATATATGACCCACTAGAAATTACTTAATTCTGTAATGGACATCCACTAGCTTGGACCAGTCAGGATTGCTGCTGCCAGAATAAAAGCAGAATGCATACTAAAAGACTATTGATGAACAATGAACTGCTTGCTATAGTAATTTATATTCATGATTGTGGAGTGCTGCAATTCTTATGTAGCCTCTCTTTGCTGTTAAGCCTGGGGCATGCATAGATGCCTCATATGAATACAACTGTAATGTCATTAAATTCTCAGTGTAGGTGCCATTTGCAGCTCAGGGATATTTAACTTATTTGTTCAGTAGTTCAAACATATTAGTAATATTGTTAAAGGTTGTTTCACATCCCAGACTAGCCTCTAAGTCTGGTGAAGTACTGAAGGTGACATGAAGGGAGGGCAGGAAAATGAGTATTATATTAAGTATAGTTTAACACCCATGACTCCCCGTACCCCACACACACCAGTCCAATGTGATTTGGGACAAGTTACATGATGTCCCTGGGTCTCACTCAGACTCTCCATATGTAAAAGAGATATTAACGATATGTCAATAATGTCAAATTCAATGTGTGGCATATGAGAACAGATCCCCTTCCTATTCCTAGAGTATATTGCCTTGGAAAACTGATCAGTGGGTTAGTCACTTATTTTCTAATAACCAGGAATATAAACATTTTCCTGAAATCACTGGTTATATGGTTATATGGAAAGCACCTAAAAAGTTTGAGCAGAAATGTAGAAGGAGAGCATCATCACCGAGCAAAATAGCCTAAAGCTGGCCCCAGGTGTCCCTGCCATCCTCCACAGGAAGCCTACTGACCTTATAAAGAACCTCAGCCCTCCACAGGAATCTCACGGACCTTCTAAAGAACTTCACTGCGCCCCAGTCACTGTCATCCTGACAGAGTAACTTCCTAGAGGATGTTTTCCTACCCCCTCATCCCAGTCAGCACTCAATACATGTTAGTAAACAGTTAAAAAGTGGAAGTTTCTGGGAAAGACACAAATGCCACAGCTTTTGCTGTGAAGAAGCCTTCTGTCAAGCCTGCAAAGGAGGATATGAGAACATGATGTTACTAACCTCTGTAAATACAGAATTAGAAAATGAGGGGATGTTTTTATTAAAATCTCTCCAACCACTGTGTTTCTTAGCCTTCCTTCACTCTTGGAAGTCAGGAAAGAACACAGACTTCCTAGCAATTACAGAAACTAAATGAAAAAGTCACTAGATTAACTGGGAAGGAAGACAAGCAGCTTCTGAAGTCACTCAGACCCTTTGACTCTAATAACAAGAAAATCCATCTTCATTAACAGCTTCAACTTTGTCCTCAGAGGGCATGCCAAGGGAATACCAGATTACAGTATAAACTATTGAATGGAAACTGAAGTCACTTCCTTCCCCACCCCCACCATACAGCCTTGCCTCATCTCCTGTACTTCACAAAGCAGAAGGCTTCACCCGCCCACCTGACTGATGGTTTGTAAGAACTCATTACCAAGTCGATAAACTGACTTCTCATGTCTCCTTCCTACAGAACCATCCTCCCCTGGTCCATTCTCTCACTTAGACACTGAGAGAGGCCATTCTCTCACTTAGGCACTGAACACTTTTGGGGTTTATTTATGCACATTTTTCAAATATATATTTTGTAGAGAAAGAACAAAACTAGAAGGAGGAGTCTCTGTACAGAGATTATTTTGCAGTCACAGCAAAAGCCGCTCTGAGATTCCATCTCTCAAACGGATGTGGAGGGGTATTGGGGTAAGCCTAGCCCTGAGATCTTTTGGAAGTTAGAGGAAACTTACCAGGCAGCTTTTGTGACCTGATTTGAACGGATATGGTCAAATATCCTGCAAACTCCAGCGATTCGGGGGGGTAGTGTGGGAAGAGGTGGGTGGGAGTTTGCCAGGCAGAACCCTGAGCTGCCACAAGTTCCTGGAGAAACATTAATGCAAGAAATGGCCATGAGTGGCCTGACTGTCAGCAGGTTTTGTAACTAAAGAGGAAAGCCTGGTAGCTTGCCCATCAGACAGAAAACATTAGTAGGCAGAATAAGAGCTCATAACTTTCAATCAAGGCCTGCTTTGGCTTTGTCTATGCCTATAAAAACCAACACCAAGTTCCCCACAGGTCAGACTAGCATATTCATTATCAGTATCAAAATAGTCCCCGAAATCCTATCTTACCCATATTGATTCCCGGAATCTAGTTCTGTGATGAGTTTCAACCTGCCTCTACTCTTCTCAGACTTGATACTCCAGTCTCTTTTGTCCTGTCCCTTCTCCATCTTCAACAGATGACCTTACCTCCTTAGAAAGGACTGACAGGCCAGAGACCTGGGTTCCACCTCTACTATGCTTATCATTTTTCCTCTCTTGGGTCCTACTAGGAAAAGGCAGGTGGTTAACCTGGAGATCCTCATGAATCAGGTCCCAGCGCTTTCCCTCCTGTCCAGATCTGCCCAGACAGGCTGAGATCAGAGAAGCTTGCCTGTCCAGGTCCCGCCCCCCATTGAGATCCAAGCTCCTTAGCACTCTTCTCTGCTTCCACCCCGCCCTGGGCCACCTTACCCGAATCTGCCCCCAGGAGCGCGCGGTTTGGCAACCGGGAGGTGGCAGTGCTATGTTGCGCCTTTAGCCTCAGTCTCCAACGGAGTCTCCTCGTCACTGGGCACCTGGCTGTCGCCCTCCTCTCCGCTGCGAGGGTAGGCCAAAAGACGCATGGCCGGAGCACAGGCCATCTCCACCTGGCGCACCTGCTCGCGGCTCAGGCGCTCACGCCAGGCGTGTACAGCCTCGCGGGCATCTCGCGCCGACAGGTGGAAGGGGCGGTCGGCCCCATAAGCTGTGCCGCGCGTCATGTTGAGCGCAAAGGCATCTAGCGCCGCGACCGCACGCAGACCGGCAAAGCCCAGCAGGCGACTCAGCTGAGTGCTCGGCTGCCTAACCAGGTCCTCATAGCGCAGCCTCAGATAGCGCCGCCGCAGCCAGGCAGGTGCGCCACGTGTGAAGAGTAGGTCTCGCAGCCACGCTTCACAGATCACCTCGAGCGCGCCCGTTAGGAAGTAATCGGCGCGTGGCGCTGCGGGCAGTGACCGTGAAGGCACACCCGGGCGAGATCCCACACCCTGTGGCAGCAGCAAGCGGTTGAAGCGGTCGCCCCTTTGGCGGGTGCGCAGCACTTGGATGCTCTCGCGCAGCAGCCCCTGCCTGGACTTGAGGCGCGAGTTGTGCACCGCTCGGGGGTCACGGAAAAGCTGCACCACCTTCAGGTTGAGCCCGGGGTCACGAAGCAGGGGCACCAGCACACCCAGGTCAAGGAGGCGAACATCTTTGATGACCACCACCGGGTACTTGCGGCACTCAGCCTCCAGGGCTCGAAGCGCCACGGGTGGGCAGCTGCGCTCACAAGTGGTATCGTCGATTAGACCCACTTCAGCGCGGGCATGGGGAGCTTTGGGACACAATGGCGGTGAGCAGATGACCTTGTTGGTCCGCCAGCGAAAGAGAGTGGCCGTAGTGAGATTGCCTGCATCCGGGACCCGTGCAGCTGGGTCCCCTGGCGGCACGTACAGTCGCAACACCGAGAAGTCACAGCGGAAGAGCGAACGCAGCATATCACGCAGCGCGCCCTGCAGGCTCTCGGCATCGCCCGGATACAGTGCCTGCCAGAGATGCCACATGGGTTCGTACAAGTAGAAAACGTCCGGGTGCTGATTAAAAAGCTCACCAAGAAACGATGAGCCAGTGCGCCAGGTGGCATGCACGTAGATGTGCTGTTTTTCTCGAGACACCGTCTCCCCGACGGCACCGCTAAAGTTGCCTGGGGACCCTGGGGAATGGCCTGCGCCCCACTCCGAAGCGGGGCGCGCCTCACCCTCCTGCTCGCGCTCGCCCGCTGCCGCCGCCTCCAGGCTCCACACTCCAAGACTACGCTGCAGGCCAGGGCAGTGCCCAGCGCCCTTGTCCGAATCTCGGCCGCCGTCCAGCACGGAGGGGACAAGCAGCAGCACCAGCGTGTAGATCACCAGCAGGAGCGCGAACTTGCAGTACTCTCGGCGCCGCCGCCGCCGGCCCTTCATCGTTCGCCGAATCCCCACCCACTCCCAGTGCGTGTCAGGCTTCCGTTTTCTTCTTCCTCAGAAATCAGGACCGACCGGAGTCCGCTCCGATTGCCTCTTTGAGCCAGACTGCACTGGGAGCAGCTGAGCCACTTAGCTATGCATCCACAAGGGAAACTTGGGAGGCTTTGGTGCTATAGGCGGCAACCCTGCCCTCTTTTGGCCCCGCCGCCGTCTAACAGCCTATTGGCCAACTTAGCCGCTGTCCGTCCCTCCCAGTCCCGCCCGGTCCCGCCCCGTGCCGCCCCATCCCGCCTTCCTACCCCGCAGCTTCTCTCCGCCTCTCTACTCGCCTCGATTGCCCACAGCGTTACAATATTTGTCCGGGATTGCTGTGGGCTGGGGGTGGGGGGAGGCTCGCTGAGCCTGACCTTATGTTTCCCACAGCTCTTCCAGAATGAAGTCAAGGTTACATGAAAGGACTTCAGGAAAGGGAGGTTGCCCCTGTGATGAAACGTGAATCTTACCGACATCTCTACTGCCTCCCCTGTTTGACCCCCCTCCTGTTTCTGTCACAGGTTCACTGGCTTCCACAAGGACCGGGTCCCTGATCACTATTTATGTGCAGCCTTCCCATTATTTCCAGCATGAGTGTCACTAAATTCTGTATTGAAAACTCCTCCACTTAGATACATACAGTTGCACACAGGAGGAGGGTCTGGGGAGTTTGAGCCACCAAGTATCTTGCACTGTTCAGGGGTAGCCTTTAGGAATTTTTAAGTGCTGTTTTATTTAGGGCTGTGCATATTTTTACAACTCCCGAATTATCAGTTTATTCACTCTCAACATACAGTAATTTTAGTGCCTCTGTGTCTCTAGTGTAATGAGATTTGTGGGTGTATGTGTGTGTGTGCGTGCACGCGCCCGTGCGGTGTTATTTGTTAACCACAGGATAACCTGTTCTTACATGTCTGAGCAAAAGACATTTACATATCTCTCAGTACAATGTTGCTATTTCTCAAGAACACAAGAGCAGAGACCTGAAGGCAAATGTGGAATAAAAAGTGATTTGAAGCCCAAGCCCTTTGAGATCCTGAAATCCAAAAGAGAACCAAAAGGAATACTTGGCTTGTTGCAGCAGTATAACAGAAAAGGAAAGGAGAGCTTCCTCCCACTCCCTTGAGGAAGGTGCTGTAAGGGTAACAAAACACAGAAAACAAATCTCATCTCCACCAGGGGAATATATATCAGCTATAAAACTGTAACTGGTCTTTGAACTAAGGTCTTCTCTTTTGATCTTTTTTGTAACAGAAAGTATGCCACCTCTGAAAATCACTCCCTCATACTTCTGCTTTCTGTGCATACTGGTCTCTCCTTGGCCTACTTGTTCAAATCCTGTTCTCCAACCTCACTGACCACTACTCTCATTTTCTTCTGAATTTATCATATTCAGCTGAGACCTCAGGCCAGTATTGTAACAATTCTGCTAATAACTTAAACTTCCTGCCCAGCATTCTTTGCTGTACTCATTTGGCAAAATGATCCTCTCCCCACCCTTTTTGGCTTTCTTTGAGTCTGCAATGAAAATACTATTGCAAAACATCTCCCTGTAGTAGAGCTGTCACTTTCCAGTCTCAAGTTCAACTATAACTATTGCACATATTCTCTGTTCTCCTTAGATCTCAGATAGTCCTCTTACCTTCTACTTCACAGAAAAAAATGAAAATGTTAGACAATCTCTTAACTTTTCCATCACCAGACCCATTTATTCTTTTACTTCTGTGCACATATTCTTTTTCGCAATAAGAATATTTTGCAATATTCATTTATGTCTTCTTCCTTCAATAATTGGTGGTGGGGGTAAGTCACACCCATCTATGCTAAGGGATCACCCCTGGAAGTGCTCAGAGGACCATATGCAGTGCTGGGGATTGAACTGGGTTAGTCACATGAAAGGCAAGAGCCTTACCTGCCTACTCTTTCTTCCCTCCCCTATTTTAAAAGTTTGTTTAAACTCCATGGTTTACAAAGTTGTTCATAATACAGTTGTTATGCGAATTTAATGCTCCAACACCAATCCCACCACTACAGTGACCTTCACTCCACAACTGTTCTCATTTCCCAACCACTCCCCAAACCTGTCCCCTTAGCAGTCACAAAATAACTGATTTTATATTGCCTGTTACAACTAAATGGCTAATGGAATTATCAAAAAATAATTCAGTGAAAGAAAATTTGTGAAAACTGTTATATCTCACCATGAGGGTCATTAAGTCCATGTCTGAAGGTTTACTAAGTTGTTTACTGCTAGCTGAGCAATCTATGCATGCAGCCGACCAGACTGACCTGGGTTCAGTTCCTCCGCCCCTCTCAGAGAGCCTGGCAAGCTACCGAGAGTATCTCTCCTGCACGGCAAAGCCTGGCAAGCTACCACGGCAAAGCCTGGCAACTATTCGATATGCCAAACACAGTAACAACAAGTCTCACAATGGAGATGTTACTGGGTCTGCTCGAGCAAATCGATGAACAACAGGAGGACAGTGCTACAGTGCTTGCCACAAATGATTAAATGGGTCTAGTAATGGAAAAGTAAGAGATTGTCTAGCACAGTTTCATTTTCTCTGTGAAGTAGAAGGCAAGATCATGTTTTCCCATCTAAATTGGTGTGCTCATACTGGGATTCCATATTGTGGAATTTAGAATGGCAGCTGTGCATTCCCAAAACTCCAGGATCTGTATAACTGGGCTAATGATTTTACACCTCAGTGAATATGGGGTGTGGATGTGGCTGCTCTGGTTTCTGGAAGTATGGGGTCGGCGTAGGCTGCTCACCCACAATCTGAGAAGACCCCAGAAAACCGGTGTACCTGGAATTTTCATTGGTTTGGTGTCTCTGCAGAGATTAGCTGTAAAGCAGTGGAGTTGGTGGTATGGTGGCAGCTGTGAGGTGTGGGTGCCACTTCCACGCTTCAGCAAGGGAAGGACCCAGCCCACTCCTTCCCAAGGATGCCCTAGAGTTTTCAGCTGGGGGACCAGTGTATCTGTGGATTTTATCAGCTTTGCTTGCATCTCCTCAGAGATTATTCATGAATCTGTAAAGCTGGTCTAATGGATAAATTTACATGGTGGATGCTGTGGGATGGTTGGAGCCTCTCCCCTAATTTTTAACTTTCACTCCTTTCCTCTTTTCAGCAAGTAAGTGGTTGTGCCCTTATTTGACTGGAAGAATATGGCTGAGCATAATGCAAAAAGTTGTTTCTTTCCAAAAGCTTCAACTCTAGTATTGGGAGGTACAGTCAGCTTAAAAAAATATTGCAGTAATTGGAGAGGCAATATAGGGGTAAGGTGTTTGCATTGCATATAGCTGCCCCACATTCAATCCCTGGCATTCCAAGGTCACTCCAAAGCACATAGCCATGAGTAGCACTCGAGCACCATTAGGTGTGCCAAAAAAGAGAATAGTTCTAAAACAACATAGGTTTCCCCACTTCTCTCCGTGCTCATTGGCAATGCCTGCCTACACTAACTCTGGAATGACCCTGTGATATGCATTGGTTAATGGGATAGTAACAAGCATGACACAAGCAGAGGCTTAAAAGATGCTTCCATTTTGGGTATTTCTCTCCTGCTACTCTTGGAACTCTGGGATAAACAGATAAAGAAGCCCTGACTAGCCACCTGAATCAGAGAATACATTGTCTCAGCTGAGGCTACCAGGCCAATGAGCCTGCCCCTCCATGGAGATATTTCTCCTAGCCTGAGATAGATGAAGGTAGAGTGGGTATAATGGACTATAGAAAGAGAGAGGGAGAGGCAAGAAGATGAGAGAAACAGAGAGAAAGTCTTGGGTATCATATCAAAGGTACTAGAGTACTTATTCTTGGCAATGAGTCAGGAAAAAAAAACAGAAATCATGCCTCAAACCTTGCTGGATCCCAGGTAGTGTTGGAAGCAGCAGAAGTATCACTGAGGTAGTGAGGGAAATATTTTTTAGTTCTTAAAATTGTTTATAGGCCAAGTAACAGGTTTAGGTTAGGTTTAGATTTATGTTTATTATAGTTCAGGAACAAGTCTCACAATGGAGACATTACTGGGCCTGCTCGAGCAAATTCGATGCACAATGGGAGGACAGTGCTACAGTGCTACAGTGCTATAGTTGAGGAAGTATGGTTACAGTAGTGATAACAACATTTATGCTTTTGATGTAAAGTTACTGTGCATTTACCGTCACCTAAATGCCAAAAAGTGTTATCACTGTACTTGTATCACTTCTGCTCTGTCTCTTCCTTTCTCACTCTCTTTTTCGTGCTCTGCCCCAACTTGGTAACCTCAGGTTTGTAGTTGAAGTTTTATTATCATTAGATACATTCCATTGCCTTGATTTGTTTCTTTATGTAAAAAAGATGATTGAGATCATCCGATATTTGCAATTCTCACTTTGACATATTTCACTTAGTACAGCCATCCAAGTAACTACATTCAAGTTTTAGCAAAAGAAAAGATTTCTTTCTGCTGCATGGTACTCCATTGTGTCTACACACCAAAATTTATTTATACACTTATCTGTCATTGGATATTTGGGTTTTCATATCCTGTCTACTTTACTTAGCACTGAAGTTGTATATACATCTTTCCAGTTTAAAGTTTTTTCATTCTTGGAATGGACACTAAGGGATGTATTCACTGGGTCATATGGAGTTCTGTTTTTAATGTTTTGAGAAGTTTGCATGCTGTTTTTTATGGAGACTAGATCAGAAGACAGTCCTACTCCATCCGTGATCCCTCTCAACCTCCCATTCTTCCATCATGAAAAGCTCAGTTCTGTAGACCAGTTTTCAGGCTCATTATCCTTGGCCTTTTATCCCCCAACTTAGTTTTTCATATCTCACATTTGATAGAGATAATTCTATATCTGTCCTTTTTTTTATTTACTTCACTCAGCATGATACTCTGCAGATCTATCCATGCAGCAGCAAATTGCATGACTTTGTCTTTTCTTATAGCTGAGTGACATTCCATTGCGCATATACTACAGTTTCTTTACCCAGTCATCCATTCTTATTTTTACTTATTTATTGATTTTTTAT